TTTTTTTTTTTTTCCTTCCCCTCCTCCATGGGTTTCTGTTAAGTTTCTCAGGATCCACATAAGAGTGAAAACACTCAATAGCTTTTGACTATTAATTATAACTTCAGGCCCTTATTTGAAGGAACAAGACTTTGCCATGCAATTCACCTTTTCGCACCCTGGGGCAGAGTATGTATTGTGTGAAAGAGGTTGAGGAGGGACTTTGTGAGGAGTGACTAATGCCCGGAAGCCGTTTCACGACAGGCACAGGAGTTTGAGGTTGGGAGGTGGGTACTGGGAGGTAGGTAAGTACAGGGGGCTTATCTTGATGCTAGTAAAAGACTGGTCTGCGCGCTAACAAATTAACATTACATTCTCACTAGTTAGCCAAAGGCGACTGCCGCCAGAGGGCGCAAGGCGCGCCGGCAGGATCCCAGGTAGCCCTCCGAGGTCGCGGTGGGGGCGTGCGTGGCCCAGAGTCCTGAGCGCGCGCCGGGGGTGGTCGCGGGGCACGCGCCGGGCCGCCCCCTCCCCACGCGGGGCGCGCGTGCGCGGTTCCGCTGCGGCCCAAGGAGCCGCGATGGAGGGCGCTCTGACTGTTCGCCAGGTAAGCGGCTCTTCGCTGGGGCGGCTTCCCAAGCGGTGGCTGCACCCGGCAGTTTTCTTCACGATAGTTGTTTGAACCTTCTCAGATTATGATAATTAATTCCTCCCTTCCGTTTTCTCCGTGCTCTTTGGAGTAATTTGGAAAGTTGTTACCAAGGAAACGGTTTCGTGTGCTTCCTGCGAGCCTTCCCCTCGGGGCGATGGTGGAAAGTCTGCTTCTCTGTGGGCGTGGAGAGCAGGAATTTGGTCCCGAAATGTCCTAGTCCAGATGTCTCAGCCTCAGGCCCCACCGACTCACGTTCCGTTGTCGTGATTCTGACCCGACATCACGTTGATCCAGTCTCACCCGCCTCCCTAAACTATCAGCTCTTCAATGAAGGGCTCAGGACTCTAGCGTAAATAACTGTGCTGTCAACCAAGCTTTTGGTTCCAACTAGTTTTGTTCTTGGCTCACTGTCTTATTTGATAAACGGAAGATCTTGCTGATTAACCTTCAGGGTGAAAGCCTACTTTTGTTCCAGGGCTACCTGCATTTATGAACACTGCGCTCATTTCTTTTACGTTGGTTGGGTGTATATATTTTAGAGAATTGCAGTCAGTGCGATACCTTTTATTTGACTAGCGTTTTACAGGTTACAAAATGGTAGACATTCGAATAATTGTTGAATGAACAAGTGAATGTACTATTTCAACTGAGCCTCAGAAACATTACTTATGAAATAGTCATGATACATATTAATGAACCCAATCAGTTATTTTATTCTCTGTCCCTGGCACTGGTGTTGGGATAAGATGGTGAGCAACAGACACATGATTCCTGTTCTCAATGAGTTTATAGTTTAGACTACCGAGAGTTATTACCCCTACTGTAGAGTGGAGAAAACAGATTTAGAGAAATTGACTGGCAAAGACCACACAACTAATAAGTTAGAGAGATAGGATTCTGTTGTAGCCACTCTACAAAGTCAGAATGAACCCCTACCCTTTCAATTTGATTTGGATGTAGAATTATGCCACACATGCACCATGAATATATGAGAAGGCTTATTACTTATATATACAATGGCTTATTAAATACGTAATGAAAAAGTAGAAGTAGGTCAGGCTTCTCAAGCAGATCCTAAATGATTTAAAAGACAAGGAAAGGAAGTTTAATCCAGGTTTTTACCCTGGTGGGGTCCGGGTAAGGGTTCCTGTGTGTGGACTGGGGCTTGCTTGGTTTGACTCATTCACCCACACCAAAGGTGAGAGCACCCAGACTTTCTCACCCACTTGCCCATATGGGGGAAAGAAGAGGAAAAAGGACGGGTGAGGCTTAAAATCTGTCAGCAGGCAACCATTAAAAAATTGAATGAGACTCCTTATCACAGTTCACCCAGATGTTGGGTTAATGACTGAAATGTACCATTTTTCATTTAGTTGAATTTGAATTAGTGTAGGTAAGCCATCATGGCTGTCTACTAGGTCTCCAGTCTGTGCCCAGTAAGGAAAATGAAAGTTCCCTGGAATGCCTTGTTCAAGAGCACAACAGTGTGTTTTGAGAAATAAAATGAGTGCCTTGGTCTCTATTAGTAATCTTCTGGAACTCTAACAGGCATAAGGAGTATCTTGGTGAGGCCTTTTATTATGGGTTTAGTATATGTAGAGACACGAGTGATCTTTTTTGAAAAAAAAATTATTTATTTATTTATTTATTTATTTATTTATTTATTTATTTATTTAGAGAAAGAACGTACACGTGAGCAGGGGAGGGGCAGAGAGAGAGGGAGAGAATCCCAAGCAGCTTCTTCGCTGTCAGTGCAGAACCCAGTTTCGGGCTCCATCTCACAAACTGTGAGATCATGACCTGAATAGAAATCAAGAGTTGGATCCTTAACTGACTGAGCCACCCAGGTGCCCCAAGACATGGTGATCTTGATTTGTATTATGAGTATCTGTGAAACAAGAGATTTCTAGAGTGCTTTATCCCAACGGGTGCAGCTCTGAGGCAGTGCCCCAAGAGTCTGTAAAAATGTGCAGATGGAGCCAACTGTTGGCCAGAGCATCCAGTGTTAAGATGACTATGGGAAGTTCAGCCAGTTGTGCTGACCCTTGGGTCCTTACCTTTATCAGGGACATCTTGGTTAAGGGATGAAAAGCAGTAGATATCCAGAGAGCTCCATCATGTGTAATGGTGGTGATGCTGTTCACTGACAGTAGGTTTGTCTGTCAAACTTCAAATGGGAATTTAGAGTGTACAGACTCCACCTGCTGTTCACTCATTTGAACCCAAGTCACTCTTCAGGTTAACAAGGGGTTCAGAAGAGTGATGGCCTTTTCTAGCACCATGACATCTGACAAAAGAATGAGGACAGGGGAGGGCATGCCCTCTTGCGGGTAAGATATGCCAGGGGGCTCAGATTTGGTTTTATCCCATAGCAAGGAGGCCTTGGTAGTTGTGCTGAGCTTGCAAGGTGTTGCTTCTAAGACCTAAGAAGGTCTGAGAATGGAGGGTCACAGGCTCAGGGTTTGTAGAGCCTCTATTTCCAGAAGAGTCCAGTATGCTGTCAGTGACTGCTGCTCTAATGGTGTGTAACGTGGGGCCTGGGGGATAGTTTCTTGCATTAGAAGCCTGTAGACAACTTATAGACACCATGGGTGGTTGAGAGACTCCAAGAGTCATGGAAAGAAGCTGCTAAAGTCTCTGTAATGAAGAGTTCTGTGTGTGTGTGTGTGTGTGTGTGTGTGTGTGTGTGTGTGTGTGTTTGGGGGAGAGGGGAATAGTACTAATGGAAGTGTCTCTTATGATTTTGACAAATATTAGAGTCTTTTTGGGAAGGATCCTCATTCAGCATGACTGATTTGCAAGTAATAGTGTAAACAGACTTAAGTAAAATTTGTAAATGAGGAATATATTGCTCTAGATGCCCAAAATGCCTAATAAATGTTGGGCTTATTTTAGTGTTATGGGTGCTAAGAGGGTCAATAGTAATTTCTTGACATTGTCAGGGATGGAGTGACCCTTGGTGTACCAAATGTTTTTCAGGAATTTAAGGTGGCAGGCCTTAATGCTGTGTTTGGGGTAATGGCCCATCCCCTTTTCGTGAGCTCTTTTGTGCATATTTGAATGGGTATGTCAA